CTACTTTAATGTGTTATGCACGTCTAAAATCCTGCGCAATTACTCCAAACACTATTTTCTCTGGATAATGAAAGAATTCCTGTCAAGTGAAATGGATTATTATGGTGAGCTGCAACTTCATGCAATCATGTGGTTGTTGCTTTTCCAGCAGCACTTGATTTAATGTATAAAAGTAAACATAGTCAAATTGGACTAATTATTCCAGTAAGCAAAAAACCCACATAACAATACAAATAATGGAAAGACATGTTATTGTACAGATTACTGCAGTTACCTGCACTCAAATCATTATCTTGAATTAACACTCATAATACAAGGATTTCATTAAGTTTCTTTGCATATTAAATCAACTAGTCAATTCTGGATTCAAAGTTTTACAAAAAGAAAAAAAAATCAACACTGCATGAAGTTCCCTGAACTGCCAACCATGACACAGCTACTTAAACACCACGCTGAAGATACAGCCACAGTAACAGATAAGCAGGAACCCACACTGACATCGAGCCACAATGCCTGCTAACAACTGAATTCTGTTAAAATATGCAGACATCATCTGGAAGCTCTCTCTCTTCCCACTCCATTAGAAAAACATGGCGTCGAGGTGGTTAAGAGAAAGGCTTTGTACTTGTGGCTGCCCTCACATAAACATCTTTGTTTTCTCTACATATGTTCTACCAGGCAGTCTGGGTTTTAAGATTGTGACCTCTTTAATGTCTAGGCCACTGTTGCCCCCAATCCAGTCTTTTACTACATTTAACATTTTAATACTCCCTTTTCTTCTTGCAAGTCAGTCTTTGATGTTTTTGAAGAGTCTGTGTAAATGTCATGTATTTCAGTAAGAGTTTGCCCCGAGTGCAATTGGGCCCTAATAAAATGAAGGTTAAAATTGAGTAATTTACCTGTCATGCAGCTTTTGGAAATTTAATGTTTAATTCATCCTAATCCACTGGCAGTCATATCAGAAGATTACAGGTTTGATCTATTCATATTTTATCCATATTCAAAGAAAATCCATTTTGCAGTGAGAGACGTAAATGTTTGACTTTGCGTCGGCCCCTGCTTCCCAGAGAGCTGGGATTAAAGGAGCGCTAACAGAATAAAGGGATTCGGGATGCACATTGCCTCAGGCAGATCGCTTCAGTTGCTAAAGAGGAGGAATATTTCCCTCTTTTTGTGGACAAGACAGAATTAACTTCCTCAAAGACGGTGGTATCAGTGACTGCCGCTAACTCCGCTTCAAATAATCTCTAATAATATCACCCCAGAAGCCACAGCAGCAGATTTAGCATTTAGCCGCCCCATTCACCCTGCTGCTGTTCTCAGGCTTGTGATTGGCTGGGCTGTGCACCACACTGCAGTAGCTCCGGTCCTTTGGCTAAAGGGCATACAGACAAAGAGGCAGAGCCGATTATCTGTGTCTCATCCAAAGGCAGCACACAGCGGACGTCTATTGTAAAGCTTCAATGTGATGTTGGGGCCTTTTCACAGGAGCCACAAAAGACTTGAGATTTTTGAGATTTCACTGATAGTATTGTCACTGTCACTGATATTAAGATATTGCAAAACAGTGTGAAATATCTGTGCAACCAGCCTGCAAAACAAAGCAACTGTTTTGCAGTTACACCTCACTAGGCTTGATAAGGAATGCCTGATAAGGGGGAAAAGACTTAATGTACACTGACTGACAGGAAACACTCTTTCCTCTTCACTTTTAACTGTCGCCTCATCATGCAGGTTGACTTTTGTCTGATTTTAATTGTGGAGTGGATAGTGGATAGTGTGTAAGCACTGGATCTCACACACACACACAGTGGCTGTTTGAGGTTAACCAAGAAGCCCTCATGTTAAAGTAGCTGAATAAACGTTTCTTGAATGGTTACCCACCTCTTTTTATAGGGTACAACATGTTTTACAACTAATTAATTATGTGTGAAGTAGCACGTAAAAGCAGGAAATGTAGCGTTTAATTCAAAACTTGCCCAATGACATTGCTTTAATAAAGTACATGTTGTTTAAATAGTGATTTCATTAGGGCTTTTTGGTCAGAATGTTGGATATGTTTAAATTACCCATTTTCATAATAATGTAAGCTGACCCCCTTTTTTTCTATTTATTTTATTTTCATTTTTTATAAAAAGTTGAGGAGGCAATTCATGACAGCTTTAAGTACCAGTGTAATAAAACTGTGGACCTTAATGAAATATACAATGAATTCATCAATGAAAACATTGTTAGTTCAAAGCTTGTGAACTCCAGGCTTTAATAACTATTTGTACATTTCCTATTCATTGCAGGTCACTTTGACCGAGCTTTGAAATTGGTACTCTTTCATTGTAAAGAAAAAAAAACGAAATACAATTACAATAATGGTGCCTAGAGTGACCGAGATAACACGGTGTAGCGACAATGCCATGGCAAAGGGCCACGCTCTCCTTTCGTCACATGAAACGGAAATTATTTCAGCTGGTTTGATCTCCCTCTATTTACATAATATCAGTGTGGTTCAGCAGCCTGGGTGGGCACTTATCATTGATACTGCATTGTGTTATATTCTAATAATTAAAGGCAATAGCCGCCCAGTGAGCGCGCTTCATTTGGCATGATTGAATGATTGGCACTCACCAAGCTAATATGGTTTGGGTGAGCACATAGACACAGTGAAGAAAGTAATGATGTCAGTACAACGTCGCAGACTATGCCCATGATAGAGTGACTCATTTCCTATTAGCGAGGCCTGATTCCACATGGCTTCCTTCTTGCATAACGCCTCGGCCCACGTCTGTGCCGCCACGCCACTCCAACTGACACCTCTTAACCAAACACAGCAAATGGAATAGACATAAACCCTCACTCCTCATCAGCATTCACTAGGAGACACAGGCATCACCCTGGCCCTGCTCTTCATGTAGAACAACAAAGACACCATTTGTACGCATCTAAAATGGTTGCTTAAAAAGAAATAGGATTGCACATCTGAGCAAATCCTGCTCTGTGAGCTGTAGGGGTAATTCGGTTAAAGAAGGAGCTGCATTAGTTATTTTAGTTTGTTGCACGTGATGTTGTCTCTCTAGGAATGTAAAGTCATTTAACTGATGAACTCTATTAATGTACTATTCAGTGTCTCTGTAGGCAAAATGGCCCTGATCTTGTTTTTCTTGCATAAAAGTGTAAAATTAAAGTGACTATATTTAATGGTGAAAAAATAATGATGACACACATGATCAGCTTGTAAAATATGATACAATATTATAGACTAAACTATTCAACTGTATAAAAACAAATTAAAATGACTCCATCTTTACCAGCTACAACATACCAATGGTAAAGCTTTTAAATAATATATAACTCTGCATACTGAACACTTTCACTATTTATTTGTAAGCACACTTTGCGGATAATATTACTGCACTTTCACTTAAGGCCCCTGCAAACCTTCCAATCTTAAGTATTTTTCTATTAAATATCTATATATGTAACATATCATGACTAAATCAGCATGATCAAAGTTTAATTTGGTTATTATTTATTGAGAGTTATACAATTATACACATCTGGGCTGTATGGGAATTATATTTGATAATCATAATAAGATTTGATTAGATTTTATTTAGTAAATAAACAACCTACCATCAGATTCTGTAGCTAAATCCTGATTGGTGCACTGAAGATAACCTACTTGACATCACCTTTTTCCTACTGAATCCCGCCCACTTCAAACCAGTGAGTTTAGCAGAAAAGTGAGTGAGAAAAACAGAAATACAGAAACTCTGATGTTAAATAACCAAAAGTGTTCTTTCGCAGAATGCAGTGTTAGGATGTCGTTACTCATAGCAAGCAGTTGATTGAGATAATTGGTTTTCAGGTGCTTTAAGTATAATTTGGAAAGCTAAACTTTACTTGTCATGGAGTATTTCTGCACCGTGATGAAGTAAAAGATCTCTTCCACCATCAAATTTATGACATAATATACTGTACATATGGAAGCACGGGATACAAAGCCTAGAAGCAATACGAGAAGCTTAAGGCCCATATAGCTTCCTCAAAAGTAGAATTGGACAGCTGGTTAGAACAAAAGTACAGAACTTTTACAATCAAGTGAAGAATGAAATTCACAACCCAATAACAGGCACAATGAGGGATTCAGAGACCCATCTGCCTCTGATGAGGGCTCATAGTGAGATGACACTTGTGTAGCACTGGTATGGGGTCTGGTGTGAAGTGCTTCCTACGCAGGACGGGTAAGATCGAGTTCTGTAATATCGGTGGTCCTGCATGCATGCGGGATAACTTTAACTCAGCATGACAGCATAAGCTAAATGTCCAAAATGTAAAACTATACTGTCAGTGTAAGCAGGGCTTTCCCTCCACTCTGCTGTGTACAGCATGCAGGACTACCCCAGATCAGCATTGCGTCGTGTTCTCAGAGGACCTGCCCCGCTTCTACCTATAAAAATAGAACAATAAGGAGGCCTGCTTGAAATAGTCTTGTATCACACCCTGCTATACCTCAGCTTTATATGCCAGGAGGCGCAGGAAGCAGCGGCTGTGTTCAGAGCGCAGCGAAGGTTCAAATGATGGACAGTGCTGACAGGCGTAATGATGTGTAAATTACAAGCGGGTCGACATTGCAATGTTCTCCCTGGTGGTGAAAGAGCAAACTCATTTCATAAACACAATGATCGCTAAAATATTCATAACAAACAAGAAAATGGGGTTAGACTCCCTCCTCCTACCAGACCATTATATCTCCTTTGTGTGGGTTAATTAAGTCAACAAATGACTTATATGATCACTGTGCTACCATAGCGCCTATAGGCTCAGTCCTTTACATGCGCTCAGACAAATGAGAGGTTTTGTAAAACAAAGACAGGAATTATAATGGCATGCAGTGAAGACAATTTGTATTGAGGCAGATAATGTGCAGAGAGCAATGATAAATTGCTCTAATAAAATACAAACAAAAGCCAACGAGAGAGATCAGACGAGGGAGGAAGACTTACAGCTCGGAGAGTTGGAGGTGCTGGAAGAGCTGCCATGACAGAGTGGCGAGAGGATTCTTTGACAAGTTTCTGCAGAGGAAAGAAAAACAAAGAGAAAGTTAAATTGAATTATGAATTTATGTCTCTTGCTTGATGTCATGCCTGTTCTGTTTTTGTACCATTCCCTCCCTTTTTTCAGTTTTGATGTCCTTTGGATTCAGAAACCCAATTAGCAAATCTTTCTGTCATTCATTTTGACTTTTTTCTCTTGCTTTTGAGGTGAAATTAGTTTTTCAGTCTCATTGGGTTTCCTTCTATGTGTACTCATATCTACAGTGCTGTGGTGTGTTTCTGCAAGTAAAATAAACTTATCTAAATCTCAGTAAAACAAAACAAACAGATTCAACTAAAATAAAATAGAAAAGATTCAACTAAAATAAAATAAAGTAAAATAAGCAAGCAGGGAACTACATACAGGCCTGCATTAGTGGCTGAAATAAGGCAAAGTATTATTGACAAAGAAAGGGAAACAGGCCTGGTGGTGTGGTGCTGCAGGGCTCAGCCAACTCAATAAAAGAAAGTTGACCGCTTTCAAGTCAAATAATTCAATTGACTTAAGGAACCCCTCTGGCTCAGGAAGCCACTAAATTCAATAACAAATGGCCAGAGACCTACAAGTGATCTGACCAGAACTTTAAATCAGTTTATATATGAACATCAGGCATTTGTCTATACAGTTATTAAGCGATACGACATCTCTGAGAGAGAATTAACACCGTCGTGTCATAAAGCACACTAAATCCTAATATCAGGGCATGCAGCATCAATTACATCATGAGAGAAAAGTATAAGAGTAACATTCGATCTGTTTGTTTTCTTGATGTGGATCTGGATCTCACTAAAAGACTTACACTGCTTTTCACATTATTATGGCCCGATATCACAGCTCAGTGTCTATAAGGGCAACAAGGAGTCATCCATCCAGCTACTAACTGCATGCAGGATATGGCATATAGTAATAAATGTGAAAAAATTTAAGTAAAAAATGAAATTAGTGTTTGGGAGATGTAGAACTTAGGAAGTCATGAGTCAAAAAATGTTAACATACACATGAATATTATAAACTGTATGGGATGAATAAAAAGAACATTAAAATGCCATTATGTCATCATTTTAAGCATTTCCATGTAAGTACTTGACTGACTGAATTAATTATCACACACACACACACACTCACACACTATGGTAGGTTAATTTGTATGTAAGACCTATTACATACTTCTGTAACCAGAAGTGTCGCTATGGCAACAGTGAACTACGGATGTTGCAGGTCTTTCTTATTTCCTGTGATATCACACATGCACACATGCAATTACAAGTACACATGCAAACACACACACACACACACACACACACAGAAACACCTACACACACACCATCACAAATAGGTATAACCCACAGAAGAAGTCACTCACAAACTGCTTAAATACTATCATCTTCAAATGTGTGCTTTTGCGAATGCACTACTGCTCTGAATACAGGGGATGTGTGTGAGAATATGTAAAGATGCTGCATGAAAAACCTGTGGTCCCAAAGGGACTGTATTATACGCTGAAAGAATACATTACAGGGAGAGAGAGAGAGACAGAGAGAGAGGGGAAAGGTGGGCGAGCAAACAGCAGCTCGTTAGGTGATGTAGAGCAGGGCCGCTCAACACTTACGTCAAATCACACACTCCAAAAATAGACATACATTTATACCTCAGATCTCCAAATAGACACACATCAAATGACAGGCCCTAAAATAGAGACACGTCAGACCAAAGGTCTCTAAATATGCATAGATTGGACCACAGAACTCCAAACAGACCTGCAGAGACACACATCAGACCACAGACCCTAATTTGTTGTTGATTTTAAATATTTTTATATATTGTTTGTTTCTTAATTGCACAGAAGCCTTCAAAATGGATCATTTCTGGTGAGTGGAACAACACGTTCTTCCTTATTTTGAGACCCCAGGAACCACCTTCAGGACTCAGGAAACACTTCAAGGAGCCCTGAAGGTCTCTGCACAAAGAACCAACAGCAGGAGCCCAAACAGCAGGTTAGCAATCTTATGCCTTCAATAGCAATGAGTATAACACAAAAGCTAGATGAAAGGACCAGTGTGTAGGATTCAGTACTTCAGCATCTA